AAAGAAGTGCTACCACTGCCCTCTTGATCTCTAACTCAGTGTGAAAGTAGGGGAGTGTGGGAGAACAAGGGGTTAACAGGATTGTGGAAGAAGCAGAGACCAGAAGAAGCAGCAGGAACAATGGCAGAAGATGGCCCATGATCATCTCCAGACCTGTAAACAATGCCTGGCGCTCCTGACTGATGGAGGGGAATTCAACCCGCCTGGCAGTTGGGGGTTGCAGGGGTGTGTTGGTTGGGAAAGAAGATACACTGGTACTATATAAGCTGCCTGTTGGGTATAATAACCGATTCTGGTTGTATCACCAACCGGGGTCCGTGCCTTCATACGCTACAGGGGAGGAGAGGTGGGGCTGTTCTAGTTGAGGTACAAAACACAGGCAGGCTATAATGATATTTATTTGATGCTCTTATTACTGTCCTATTAACCATTCATGGCATGGTACATTGAAGGAAATTCACTATTATTTTTAATAGAATTAAATTTTTTTACATTTTTTAAATGGTTACAATTTTAATTCCCCTTGGCTTGGCAGAACCCCCACCTCCAGCACAGAGCCTGCTGGAACCATGGCAAGATTCTGGGGAGAGGTGCTTTTCCTTTTTGGATACAAACTGCCATTCACTGTTTGGAGTCTTACTGGAAGTTTCTTTCAGGAAGGAAAACTGATGTTGAAGTCATATCTGTTTCTGACTTTTGTCCTTTTTACATACAAAGACTAAAGCCAAAGTTATCAAAAAAGGGCAAGGACTTTCTTCTCAATTTCAAAATTCTTTCAGCAGAGCTCTCACAGAAAGTTGTCTCTGGCTATAGAATTTTTATGAGGCCACATGCCTGATGCTTGCTCTGGTTATCTCCTTGCTTTTCTGATGTTTCTGTGTCAGCCTGTGCTAGTTTTGCTGCTTCTCTTCACGTCTACCTCCATCAAACCCTGCCCACACCTCTGCATTTGTATTCACCCAAAGAAAACCTTCTCTTTTATCTGGGATCCGCACAATGGTGTATATTGCTACTTTCTTGGCAATACTTCTTTTTATTTCAGCTATCTAATTCCATGAAGGAGCTTTACTGTTTCTTACATTTTATTCTGAATGAAAACCAGCTGTTAGGACCAGCTGCTACAAGGAGATTTTGTCCAAGCCCTAGCCTAATGCACCCCAACCCTCACTGCAGCCGTCTTCCAGAATCAAATTCTGACTTTGAGATTTGACCTTTACAAAGGCCTGAGGTTCCTAGAGAAAACTTCTTGCACTAATTGGGTATATAGAAGTTGAAAGTTCAGACTATAGAGTCAGAAATGTTCTTCTTCAACAAAAGAAATATAAAACCAAACCATAATACTGTATTGTGTTACTTCCAGGCAGACATTACAGCTGGTCTGGGAAATGCAGGTGTATGGCTGAGGGTAGCTCAGCACCTCAGTTTGTTCCCCTCATGGCCACAGGAGACTCTTGCTGACACTGAGCTCCTTCTGCCATCAACCTACCCAACAGGGCATCAGTCTCGGCTCACAACCAGCTGTGCCTGGCTGTTATTTCAAGAGCAGTGCTGTCTGATGTCTCTTAGTGTGGCAGCACACTCAGATGTCTCTTGCATGTCACAGAGCATCACTGTTCCTTATCTCTGGAAGGCCACATCAGGAGGATAATCCCCAGAAACATCTGGGAAAAAGCATGTCCCTTTGTGGGACCAGGAAAGGTGTATCTTCAAGGGCAGAAGCACCACAAACATGTGAAGGATCTCCAGGGCCTTAAGAAGAGAGGCACATATGGAAGGGATGAAAAGGCACCAGATTTCCCTCATGCCAGCATAGAGACGTGCATTCCCTCCCCTATCCCTGCTAACAGAGAGATGGATGGATTCCCACATTCCCCAGGAAAGGGGTGGGAAGGTTTAAAATCCTCATCTCCTCCCTAAAATATTGGAGGTTGTTCACAGCCCTCCAGATTAGATCAACGGGATGTTTTCCTTCTGGCTTGTACAGCCTTCTCCGTGCTTTAAACCAAGCCCAAACAAACCAAATCAAAATCCATTTTAACTCTGCTGAGATTGACTGGAGAATGCAGGGGGGTTCAGCAGGAGCTTCTTGCTACAAACACAAAGGGTAGGTCACTGCCAAGGCAGCCCACTGCTGGTCTATGTGCCTGGCTAAAATGCCACATCCTTCTTCTTTAATACATGACCTTGTGTTAAAAATGGTCTTACCAACCATCAAAACGTAAACATGCGTTGACAAACATGAGGAAAGTTAATAGTGCTGCATAGGGAGGTAGCTGCAGCATGTGTACGTTGTTCAATGAGACTTCTCAAGAGCTGCTGATCACACCTGGACACAGAAAAGTCATAGTGCAGATGCAGCTTAGTCCAGCATGGAGCAAGGCATTTATATCCAATGACTGGGAATAAAGCTGGATGCAATATATTCTGTGGCATTTCAATGACAGGGATCCATCTCTCACAAACACGATCAGGGAAATTACCTTATGGACGTTTCCTTCTCAGCTGTAAGTGATGCAAATACTGTGCGGACAGTATAAACTGGTTTGTATTACACACACACAAAGACTGCTGTTGAAGAAACTTGGAAGCTGGAAGGGTAGGAATGTCCGAGTTAGAAAAGGCTTTTGCAACTTCCATTCTGACACTAATTGCAGTTATATTAGAAAATACTGTTTTCGCCACAGAACCCTTGCTTCGCCCTTTGGACAGAAAGTGGGACCCGCTCAAAAAAGAAACCATTTGGTATTTTGCTTTAGCTGTGCTATCCTGTGTCAACCACATTTCCTGTGGGCCCTGCTCTGACACTCGCCCTCTGAAGTGACTCTGGCACAAGCACTCATTCGTAAGGCATCCCATTGCAGGACTCCAAGATCAACTTATTTTAGCTAGCTAAGGCTCCATTCCTGAGCACTAGTTATTATGTGGACCTTTTGTGCATGTAATAATTATGTGTAAGTTTGTTGTTATTATTATTATTGCTGTTGTTGATGTTGTTGTTACTATTTTTTTATATAAGACTTATGGGAAAGAAGTAGCACGATGCTGTTTTATGGAGTGTAAACTCAAGCACACTGGGTAAACCCACTAAGGATTTGCAGACAGCCAGCATTTTGGCATTTCCTACATTCCTCTCAATTAATATCACAGCCATTTCATGTTGTTTAATTATTTTTAATGTCATTTTATAAAGAGTGACAAATAGAGTAGTTTGACATGCCACATTCCTACAGTCAAGCCAAGTTGCTCCTGCTTAAATAACTGCATCAGAAAATAATGGATTATTGAAAACTATTTTAGCAGAAATTAAATTTAACAGAACCAACACCAGTCTTGTCCAGCCAAGGGAGGGAAGTTAAGAGAGACTGATGTTTGCAGTTTAGGCATGGGTAAGTAGAAAGAAGGTAATCTCCTAGCAAAGAAGTAAATAAAGGTTAGTGAGCCGGGCCTAGTATTAGACTTTGTTGGAGCAGTTCATGTACAGGGCAAGTGGAGTGTATGGCCAACACAAAAAAAAAGTCACTAAAAATGAACACAACCTCTCGGGGGGTCTTGAGGTGATGGGAAGGGTCCAATTCTCATGGCACCCTACCCATGGTAAGATGAAGGCTGCGCTGCAGTACTTCCACAGAATTTACTGTTTCTGTTTAGAAACTGAACTCCATTGATGCAATGCTAAAATATGGTGCTGAAATTGCAAATAAGTAGGTAGTGAAGGTGCAAATAGATGTTTCTGAAGTGAACTTGTAAGTTAATATAAGTAGAGTTGGTTTTCTTCTTGCTTGGTAGCAGTAAAAGGCTGTAACTCTATGGGTAACTCTGCAGGGTACGCTCAAAATTGATCAATGTGGAGGTGAACTCTTCACTTGAGCTGCGGTTACTGGAAACCATCAGCCGCTTTCAGGGGAATCAAAGTTGCTGATGGCAGTACAAATGCAGTAAAAGCATCCTGGCTCTTCTGAGGGGATATCACATAACGAGGAACCGACCGATCGTTCAGCAGTAGCTTCCACAAATGCGTTGCTCTGAGAGTTAGCGTGGATTAATGGGCTATCCAGCGTGGGTGGAGTGTGCCCCCAACAACAGGGATTTACTGAACTGATTCTCTTTAAACTGGTTTTGAAAGGGCCACAGCAATCGTATAACTTAGTTTCTGCATAGTTCAGTACAATGTGGAAAATAATATGCAGGGCTATTTTGGGTTGCAAGGGCATATTGGCTTAGAGAGAGACAGCAACACATTAGGCATGCTGTCATGTTTATGTAGCTTCTGGACCGGCTGGCTGGCATCGAGTCAGCCCATAGCTTGGGCAAAATAAGCTCAAATCTGTTCACACCCTTCTGTGCATTGGCAGTGATGTGTCTCCACTCCCATCCCCACACTGAAACACCAAATTTGACAGAAAATATTCTTGTAGTATTTAACTTTGGATTTACCGTTTCCCTAATAATTTTCCTTCAGAATGGAAGGGCAGGAAAAATAAGAATGAAGAAGCAGGAGCTGTAGTGATTTGGTGTCTTAGATCCACTTTTGGGAATGGTCACACCTGGAAATGGGAGGATTTCTTGCTTTGAAGCATTCTTTTCCAATTGCAATAAGCGGAGTTGCTGTTCACTGAGCATTACAATGGCTTCAAATTGCAGATATGGAAAACGGCTGCAGAGTGTTACATAGATGGTGCTGGTACTCTGCAGGATCACAATGTGGCCCTTGATCACTTTATCATCTACCAGTTTATCAGCCTCCTGGACCCTCTGGTTAGGAACCTTGTTTCTGTAAGGAGCTAGATGGGTATAGCACCTTCCAGAAGGAAACGAGCTTTAAGCTGGAAGAGGAGCAGTGACAACCTTTACCTGGAAAAGTTCTGGCCACAGAGGAGCATGGTGCATTTGCTGCATTTCACAGAATCACAGAATCTTCATGGTTGGAAGGGACCTTGAGATCATAGAATCTAACCACAAAAAAAAAAAAAAAGACCACCACACCACACCCACCCACAGAGAGACACAAATCAACAATCTCGGGCACTAGAGTGCCCCGAAGTGCCATGTCTACACATTTCTTAAATACCTCCAGGGTATTCCCCTGGCCTGAATACAATACCCAATGTGAGCATGTTTCTGCTGCAGCCTGTGTGATCACAACGGGGAGGAGCTTCAGGTCTTCACACACCAGCTTGAGGAGTGTTCTTACTTTTTCTTCCAGGAATTCAACAAGTTCCTCCTCTGGATGGTTAGCCTTTGATCCTACAGTGCTGGAACCCAACTAGCTGATTTCACCATCCTGGCAGTCAGGTAAAATGCTCATGCTGTTTCTTCCACCTTTTTCCACAACCACCCTCAAGAGATTTCTGCATACAGGATGCTGGCACAGTCAGACCTTTAGCTTGACCAGCTACTGCTGGTTTTCACCTCAGCCATCAGGTGTGTGCTTTTATTTCTTGTTCATGGAATTTTATGTCCCTGTGTTTGGGGGAGAACAAAGTTCCCTTTTATTCCTGTTCATCTCACTCTTGAGTTTCTCTGGGGTGGGAATAAGTCAGAGGCAGGTTGTTTGTAAGTCGTTATTTCACAGCTCGGTGTGAATGCATTCATGTAAAGCCACATTCTGCCCTTGTTTACGCTCTGCAGCTCCGGTGGTTTCGCTGGGGATTTGATGGAAGGAAATAAGGTCAGGATGCAGCTCTTTGAGTCCAATCCCACCAAACTTACTCTGGCAAAAAAAGCTTGCGGGTTTCCTCCTCCGAATACCCCAACGCCATGGAAGGAAACGTATGCTCCTCCAAGTGACCATGGAAACGGGTGCCTGGGTTTCCAAGGTGATTTTCTGGCAGGAGGCCAAAGGAGGAAGCGGTAACAAAACAGGATCCCGGGCAGCAGAAAGCATCCACATTCCTGGCGATGCAGCAGCCCGCACTGAGGAGGCTGAAACCACAGGGACAAACAGAGCACACTCCTCACTTTAAAATCACCACAGGTGTCAAACACACAGCAGAGGATGGGTCAGTCAGTCTGTGGTCCCAGCTTCCTCACCATCTATATGTTTCGTTTCCTGCTTCTGTCTGATGAGTATCAGTCTCATCCCACTAACATCTTCAGGTTCATATAAGCTCGCTTTTGATAGAAAAATTAAAGAGAAAAATGACATGGAGAAAGAAAAAAGAAGCTACTTCAAACCAAGTCAAACTTTGAGGTTAGGAAATTCTCACACTCTCTAGACAAATATATATTTTTAATGTTTCATAGTTGTAAATAAGAGTATTTTTCTATCTAGCATTTTGCAAGGCATGGAAAAGGTATGAAAAAGGATCAATTTCTCTTTGAAGTGCAATGAGGAGACTTTGCAGAGCACATCGGTATTCCTCCTGGGGCTCCCAGCCAGCGTACAGCAGAACCCCTCCTTCCACATCTTTCAGGGGGATCTGGACTCTCCCTGTCTGCCTTATCAGCACAATTCCTTCCTGGAGCAAAGGTGAGATACAGTGAGGAACAACCTGGCACAACAGGGTAGAAAAGGAGGAAGGACCAGACCATTTCCTTTTGCAGAAGAGAGGAAGGGGCATTGGTATGCACATACAGACAGACATATGTGCTCCTCCAACTCCTGTGCAAGCATTATAGCCTGTCACGGAACGTTCTCACGTCATGAATTGTGGAGTCTGCTGATGTACACCACTTACATGACCACAAGCAAGTACAGACATAGCATCTAACAGTGGAACAACCCAGCAACAGGGATGTTGCTGAAGATTAGATGAGGGACTGTTGCAAATTAAGACCAGCCCCAGCAGGAGAGCTACTCGTCCAGATATAAAAAGTCTGATCCAGAAATAGCAGGAAGATGTTTCCTTTCTGCTGGAAGAGAAGGAGCCAAAACTCAAAGGAGTTTGAAGCTTCCCTCTACCTGTTGAGAGGAACTGCTGAGTACTAAAATCACAAACATGAATCAAACTGTTGATAAGTGTTTGCTTGTGCGTTTATATTCTTGCTTTCAGCTATAAGTAAAGCCTTATGAAGCTTGGTTGCCAGGTTTTTCATTAAAGCCAGAAGGTCCTATCCTCCCCCTGCTGGATACAGTTATTGACAAGTTATTTTAAGATTGTTTCATGGCCACAGGATAGAACCAAATTATCCTTAAAAGTGCTGCAAAGTATTTTGACATTAAGTCTTCACTTATCTAATTGTGGGGTTGGTTTCAGAATTCTGCTTCTTCCCCTCTCTTCAACTTTTAATGGAAAACCTGCGCTTGCAATTGGTGGAGATGTACAACAGCAGTCGCTGAAAGCACTTTGCTTACCACAAGCACAGAGCCTTCCTGAGAGCGCAGAGAGGGAGCACTTGTTTATCCCGCTGGAAGTACAGTAAAAATGAAGACAAGCTGCAGCGTGGGATGCTTCGGCCACCGCAGTACGGGGAGATGGTGACGACGAAGGGAGGGGACGTAACCCGCAAGAGTTAGTCTGACTGTGCCAAGACAACCCTTTCTGACCTCATCACCAACAAACTCCCATATGTGTATTTATCACAAGGTAAATTCAGCTTTTTGCTCCTCTGAGAATATATATATCCCACTGTTAGCATTGCCCATATAACACTCGGTTGTAGGACATGGTTGTGTCTACTCTTCTCCTTTACTTTCCCATCCGGACTGTACCTGCACCTGGTGATGCTGCGCTACACTCAAATTAGTTTAATGATTTCCATGGGGTTCAGGTCAGTACTAAATGTAGCTCCTCACATCTTCTCAGAGCACTAAGACAAAGTCTGTTTGCAGTCTCACAGGCATGGGATGTAATTTCTCCATCAGTTGAACATGATACCCAGGTACCGCGGCTAATTCGGAGCAGCCTTGTGTATCCCCATGCAAAGGGCAGCAACACACAGAGGTACTAGCATAGGCTTTGAAAGGACTAGGCATGTTAGTCATGTGTCATACCTCAACTAACTAACCCAAGTGGGTAACTTTGCCTTCCATACCACCTACCTGTAGTAGTGTTTGTAGTCTATGAAGTGCTTGCAGGGTGAGGCAGGATGACTGAGAACATGCTCTCTCTTGAAGAATGAGTAAGATTTGCTACAGTCCTTTTCTGTGACTTGGGAATATCCAGACAGATATGGGACTGAACTGTTTGAAAAAGTTTTTGTAAGAACGATTAAAGTACTGTAAAACTAGTACAGCACACTACAAATGAAATTATTTTGTGCGATTGTTCATAATTCACCTGGTGAAATAACCCCTTTAATACCCTGAAATATAAATATGCTGAACTATTTGAGGTCAGCCATTTGTGTTGAAAAATAAAACTATTTGAACTCTGAGTCTATTATTCAGAGATATCCATTGGCCACATATAGACCTTTCCTAAGAATTAAAAGCTTTGTATTAAACAAGTAGACAAAAAAATTGCCATATAATTACCATGTCTACATCCCGCACTAAGGACGGCTAGTGAAAGAAGGTAAAATGAACACATAGGTAGGAGCCAGCAGAAGACTTGGCAGCACTTATGAGACTTCTACACAAAGTAATTACACACGCCACTGATCTGAGATCAATTATTTATATCCTCTTTTATATATTGTAGCTCACCTTTTATTGGCAATTGTTATTACCAGTTCACTTCAATAGAGGGCAAAAGAGACTGAAGTTGTCATCTCAGACTGGAGGTTGCATACAAGAGTGAGAATTAAGAAATCTGGGAGGATTACATACAATTGGAAACATGACCAAAGTAAAAGAAAAGTACTAGAGCTGTACAGGGTTTGGGTATTTTTAATTTCCCTTAATGCTTCGCTGCTCTCCCTATCTGTGAATCACACTGAAATAAACACAAGAGCTTGGTGAAACAGAGTCAACTCCAAATTCTTCACAGTCATTTTTCTGTAGACTTGAACAGATTGTAAGCACTAATTTAATAGTACCAGGAAAATACACGGTTTGGTGAACTGGAAGCACATTCTCCTACATTTTCTTTCACTGACTTTTAATGCAGCAAATTTCTGAATAATTTGGTGCACTTAAGGGAATTTCTTGTGGGGAATGACCACTTTGTTTTTATTTTCTCTCTGATTTTATTTCTCCATTAGAATAGGCATTTTGCAGGCTATCTAGTAGAGCATTTCAAACAGTCTCTTTTCTGTTTCTGAGTTCCAAACTCTTTCAGTAATGCTTTAAAACTCACCTGCTTTCAGACACAAAGGTACAAGAATATCCCAGCGGTTATTAAAAAGTCTAATGTTTTATGAAATGTGAAATAACAGACTTTGTTTGGTCTCTGGGATAATTACTTCTTTCATTTCACCTAAGAATGCAGAACAGAAAGACGGCTGTGTTCTCTGCTCTGCAATGAATCCCACCACTTTGACCTTCACATCCTTAAAGAATTCCACACACGGTGGTACTTTGTCTCCCGCTATTCTTCCCAAATTTTGTCTTCACTGTTATAATTTGCTGTAGCGGCCTTAATACAGTATCTTTCAATAATTGATAGCTTTGCCACAAAACTCTTTCCCTCCAAGGTTGTTTTAAGTACACTTGACCTACCGGTCCTCCACATTTGCTGACTCTCTGCTTCCTTGATGCTCATGGTCTTCTTTCTGCTATGACTATGGTTTAAGCAATATGGATTTTGTCCCCCAGCAGTTTGCAAGCGCTGTGAAAGACAACATTTGAATTCAAAATTATCTTGACAAATGAGAAAGAGTTGATCAAATGAAGAAATATAATAAAAACAAAGGGGAAAAAATGTCCACTTAGAAGCAGAAAGTCAACTGCAGAAAATCAACTACAGAAATACAGAAGGGGAAATAGCCTGACAAAGAACTCAACAGCAGAAATTAATCTAAGACTTACTGCAGAGTGCAATAGAAATATGAGATAACAACATGATACTACTGTAAAAAAAAAAGTAATTGTCATTCTGGGCTATGTTAGAAGGAGCATCACATTCAAAATGGTACAGCAAATGCATTCACTGTGGGTGATTTCTTACCTGGAATACAGTATTTGTTATTGGGCACTGTACCTTCAAATAGAGTTATGAAATGAAAGAAGGTGTACAGGGTTACTGACTTGTACTGACTATATTAAGGGGCGGAAATGAAGTATGAGCAGATATAACCGAATAAGGGCAAGAAGAAACAGCAGAACAGTGTAAAAGATGGACCAAGTTAATAAATAAGGGCATAGTCCAGAAGTCCACAGTTGAGGACTGTTGCCTGTGTTATAGCCCAAGAGGCCTGCATTCCAGTAAAACCAACCACAGTCTACCTGTGAGCAGAAGACCCTACACACTAACACAAGGAAGATAGGAAGAACTTTACAGCACATCACCTAGACCATTCCTTTTCCTTTCACCCCAGCTGGAATACAGACTATGGCCTTAAGAAAGTTGGAGTACACTTGCCTAAAATTTATTGAGGTAGAAGTAAGCAAAATTCTGATGCAAAAGACTCATGCCATGGTAATTTTTGACCAGGTATTGAAAACCTGTCCAAAAATTAGTTTGTCACTGTTCAGCAGATATGATGAGGACCTGACACCTGGTGTCCCTTCACAGAATCACAGAATGGTTGAGGTTGGAAGGCATCTCAGGAGGTCATCTGGTTGAACTTCCATGCTCAAGGAGAGTCACCTAGAGCTGGCTGCCCAGCACCATCTCCAGACAACTTTTGAATATGTCCAAGGATGAAGACTCCACAGCCCCTTGTCCTCTGTGTTGGACACAAGTGACCCAGGCCAGATCACCTGAACACTTTTATCTTGGTTCTTGTGAGTATGTGGGGGTGAGAGTGTAAGTGAATAAATCATTGAGAAAATGACTCTGTGTGGCTAAAGCCAATGTGTACTTGGAGATACTGTAAAATAATATCACCTTCTCTTTCTGTAGAGTCTCACACTGAGTTTTTTTACACTAACTTCTAAGCAGAGAGGAAAGTACAGGCAGTGGTATGTGCTGGAAGGCTGAAAGACCGGGGATTGTGTTGTCTGGATGAGAAAAGCTTCAGAGGAATTAAGGTGAAAGTCTTCCATATGTATTATATTATTATTAAGAGGACAACAGCCAGCTGTTCTCATGGATGCTGGAAGAAGGACAAGAAGAAAACAGCTTCAGCTGTTGCAAAATTATTTTTGCTGAGTATTGACAAGAGTGAAACCCTGGCAAGAGCTTACCTGGGGACCTTATAATTTCCTCACCAGAGACGGTGAAGCATATGACCTGGCAAATATTTGTCACCAATGGCTGGATACTTTCAAACCTATCTTACTTCTGGGGGCTGCACAAGACTGGTGATCAACCAGCATTTTTGATGCTCAGTGCCAGATTTCTTGCCAAAGGCCCCGTGACTCAGAGACCCTGGTGCCAGCCCAGATCCATGTCAGTTACAGACCTGGTGCCTGTGCCAAAATTTTGTCACCACTGGACTAAACAATCTCTTTTAGTCTCTTCCTGACCTATGTTGTTATGGTTGCTATGAAACCCTTACTCATGGAAGCAATTTTTTCCACTGGCTCCATGGACTTCTGCTCTGTTTCTCACTACAAGGAATGTTAAAACAATTTTATTTCTTTTTCAATAAAATTGAAAACAGCTATGCTTGAACTGGGGGGAAAAAAAGAATTTGCTTTAGCCTAACTTTTTCATTTCAGCTGACTTTTGAAAAACTCTGCTTGTTGGCTAGATGTTACACAACTGCAATTCTTTGAGCAGATCTTTTGTTATTATCTGTCTGACAAAGAGATGGCAGCAGGGTGGTGCTGTTGCATTTTTCTCTTCATTTGCTTTTTTGGTTTTTTTTTTTAATCTCTATTTTTCAGGAGTAACCAAACCGAGCTTCTAAAGCTTTGGTGATTTGCCAAGAGCACACATGGAAATATTTGCATCGGGTATAAAGTTAAAAGAACAAATAGCTGTGCATCTTCAAAAAGTTTTAGGGGAATCTTAGACACAATACTCCCATGGCCTTTTCAGATAACTGCAAAACTTGGCTCAAAAGCAAGCTATGAGATTCAGCATTCAGGTATTGAAGGCTGAATGAAGCCTACAAAATCTTTTATGTTGTATAATTGCTGGGTGAAATCTTACAGTGAGAGCAGGACTGAAGAGGCAGATCCTCTACCTGTACTTTTAGTAGGCTCAAGTTAAAAAAATACAGTTTGTGTAGAGCCTGGTTTTGAAGTGCTCCTCATTTCTACACTTTTTTTGGTTTTTGGGTTTTTTTTGGCACTTTGCAACTTTTATATTACATTTTCATTCATGAAATGTGAAAATAGGAAGCAGGTAAGTAAGGTAACAGTGATGTCCCTGGGATGTGTCTGAGAATGCACAAATCTCACGTCACATTCATAAGCTGTACCCACTCTCCTCCCACCATTGAGGAAATAAGGTGTCACCAGCGGGACCACACTTAGGGGAGCACCCACAGGAAGGAGGGCACCTGGTTATTGCACAACCCAGGTATACAGAGATGTCACTGCAACTGTTTGCTGGACACACTGAAACCAAGTGGTGTCTGTGGCCGAGTCAGCCTGGGGTAGATGCTCCTGGCAAGGAGAGGGGTAAATTCACTCTGTCCTTGTAACCTCACTAAGTGTGAAACCTGACAAGGAGTCGTGACAATGAGTAGGGCACACGCTGAGATGGGCAGAGGCAGACTGGCTGTGTCACGAGGCGACACACTGTATGTCAAACTTGGGACACAAGAAAACACGTCTTGCACATCATTAGCCCCTACTGAGTATCCCCCCATCATATTGCCCTCCTTCTCCAGTTCAGCTCTGTGCTGCTTTTTATCTAACAGAGTGAGAAAAATGCTCAGTGTCCGATGGTGCAGATAATGCTCATTTGCTAATACCCGTGCTGGCATCAATAAGGTCAAAAGAGGTAGTTTCTGTTCTGGTGAATTCACACATGTCGTTGCAGACTACTTCTCTTTTCTAGCAAGCAATGGGAGCGGGTCTTCTCTAAGCAAAGTTGCTCCAAAACTTCCCAATTAAATTTCTCAATCATTTTTGCTTGAAAGTGCTTGCACTTAGACTGACTGTACTGTCGTGACCCTAAACCACAGCTGCTTGACAACAGATAACCATGTTAGCAAGTGACAAGCTTATCTGACAAATGGCTTTTGGTCCAGATTGTTGTTTGTAGTTTAGACATCCTGGGTCCTGGGGGCTGTTTTGGTATCAGCAATAGACTAGAGATTGAAAAGAGATTGCTTATAGGTATTTATTGCTTTACACAGAATAAAAAAAGTCTATCTTGCTCTTTTCTCTTTTCCCCAAATAGTACTCCCCCATTTCTTCAATTCATTTTTCCGGTCTTATTTTCGTTTCTTCCCACCATTCAAGCTCAGTCCAGTTCCCCTCTGGGCATCCCCTAGATGTCTTTCTGTTTGAGGAACTCTCTACTTTTCCCTCAGAACCAATATATGTGAGTAGATTGGTAGATTCCTGAGCACTCAAACCCCTTTTAGTCAGCACTTCTGCCCCCTTGGCATTCCTGCATGATGACAATTCTGCATTCCCTATATTGCAAAATTCTCCTAGTTTGTATCTGCAGATGAAGTTAGAGATGAGGACAACCTCTCACCTGTAAAACTCTCAGCTGAGTTGAATGCATCAGTAGAGCTCTAGAGGTGGGCTTTTTGTTCAGTCCTTGAGCCTTCCCTCTCCAACTTCTGCTGTCTTCTCCAAATAACTCTGCCAATCCTTCCTGACTTGGGGCTTTTTACCTCTGTGGGCTTCACATTTTCAGAAGTGTTTATCAGTGGTGAATCCTTCAATGTTTGGGTGCACAATTTGACATATTTTAAAAAGATTCAGGGGTTTCACTCCTGACCCAGTTTTCAAGAGGTAAACGTATGGACAGAACCCTGATTTGGGGCTTTTTACCTCTGTGGGCTTCACATTTTCAGAAGTGTTTATCAGTGGTGAATCCTTCAATGTTTGGGTGCACAATTTGACATATTTTAAAAAGATTCAGGGGTTTCACTCCTGACCCAGTTTTCAAGAGGTAAACATATGGACAGAACCAGGAAGATCTTTGAAAAATCTTCACCCTAGATCCTGTTAAGACAAACTGTTCCCGAATGAGTTTTGAGATGGTGTTTGATCAGTTTATGATAGGAGAAGAGGAAATGGCCTCAAGGAGGGGCCAGGGGAAGCTTAGGCTGGCTTTAGGAAAAATGTCTTCACCAAAAGGGTTGTCAAACACTGGAACAGGCTGCCCAGGGGAGCGGTATTCAGTCCTTGAGCCTTGCCTCTCCAACTTCTGCTGTCTTCTCCAAATAACTCTGCCAATCCTTCCTGACTTGGGGCTTTTTACCTCTGTGGGCTTCACATTTTCAGAAGTGTTTATCAGTGGTGAATCCTTCAATGTTTGGGTGCACAATTTGACATATTTTAAAAAGATTCAGGGGTTTCACTCCTGACCCAGTTTTCAAGAGGTAAACGTATGGACAGAACCAGGAAGATCTTTGAAAAATCTTCACCCTGGATCCTGTTAAGAAAAACTGTTCCCAAATTAGTTTTGAGATGGTGTTTGATCAGTTTATGATAGGAGAAGAGGAAATGGCCTCAAGGAGGGGCCAGGAGAAGCTTAGGTTGGCTATTAGGAAAAATGTCTTCACCAAAAGGGTTGTCAAACACTGGAACAGGCTGCCCAGGGGAGCGGTGGAATTGCCATCCCTGGAGGTATTTAGAAGATGGGCAGACGTGGTGCTGAGGGACGTGGCTTAGTGATGGCTTTGGCAGTGTTGATGGTTGGACGCGATGATCTGAAAGGTGCCTTCCAACCTAGAGAGT